TGATAATTTTTGCTTAATATTATCTTTGTATCATAATATTGGTTGTTAATTTATGCTTTTGCAATTTCTGAGAGAGACAATAATTTATTTAATCTTATCAGTTTGAACTCGATTAAAAAATTACCTTCAGCACTACATAGCAGTTCAGCTGCTGTTAAAAGTTTCGCCCTCTGCTGGGGGTCTCTGATGCCAAGTGCATCAAGGTCACTCTCATTTAAGTCTGCAAAACTTTCCAGGTGCTCAAAACCATTTTCAAGAAAGACTTTTTCTAGACTCTGGAAAAGATTTAAACACGTTTATAGAATAAATCAACTTGGTACATTGTATAAACCCTCAATACTATATCAAGATTAAGGACAGTGGATGAGTAAAGTTTGTGTAGAATTCATCTATCAATTTTTAAAATATAAAGTGAAGATGCTTATAATGAATTCACACAACTGACCGGGTATGGATTTAAAGCAAAGATGCCTTCATGACAGACTTCAACCAATCGTAAGCCAGGATTTCACGGAAAAATCGACAGAGGTGGGGTAAAGTGATTTTCATGGCCAATGGTTTTAAAACATATTATGAACTTTTCATTCAGTGGTTTATCATGAACTACCTGGGTAAACAGATTGACAATTTTTGCTTATAGCGAATCATCTTTGGATTACACTACAAGCATGCAGGTATTAACTGTATGTAGTCCAACAAACCTCTAATCCTAGTCTATACAGCAGCTCCTCCACAGTCCTGGGTTTGGCTTTCCTGGGTGTCCGGCGGGGATTGGGGGTCCTTCTCTGGTTACCCTCGGTGACACTATGACTACAGGCCTCAGTGTACGAGGGTCTGAACCAGCCCGTCCTCCCACTCAGTACCCCCTTCCACAGGCTCCCCGCTGTCTTAGTGGCCACCCAGATAATGTCTCCTTTCTAAAAATAGACAAAGGATCTTTTTTATTTTTTAAAATGATCACATATATAAATGCAACATCTCTGATATTTTGTCCATCAGTTTTTTTTTATTTGTAGCAAGCAGCACCTTCAAAGATATGAATATAATGCTTCAAAGAAGCGGTGTGATTTGTCTTTACCTCATAAAGTTTCAAACTGATTTTTAAACAAAATTCTCTTTCAAATATGTAAATTGTACGGCATATGCCAGGTATTGAAGAACAGTTTTGACACTGTGTTCATCTAATGGATCTTTATTTCACTGGACCCAGACCTTGATATGCAGCATGTCCACTTCTGTTTTGGACGGGGTGTAATCTGTATGGACCCGAACTAGGGAGGAGGAGGTGTTGTCAAGGTTACCAGCCATTCCTTCGGCCTCCATTGACGATCCACTTTTCCCGCTTCCTGGACTAGCACTGTGTGTGGCTACAGATAAAATCCAGTTCATTATGATATACAAACTTAAAAACATGAAAAAGACATTTACACTTCACTGATATCAAGTTTTACACTGATTTATTATTTTGGCTTTCTTTCTTCTGATGTTATGAGCAACATTAGGAGGTTTTCCTGACATGATTTTGATTACCTACTGATAGTTAAGAAAATCTACATACACATATTTCCAGATCCTCCACTCTGTGAACTTTCGACGGAGCTCACCGATTTATTGGTCCCTGACTGGTTACGCACCTGCAAGTAAAAAATAACCGTAATTAATTTTATAGCACACATAATATTTCGATCAACTTTGCTGCATGTTGAAATGATTTATTGGCACAAAACTGTGTGAAATTCATCGCCTTAAATACTTTGATGTCCAATAATCATTAAGCGAATTTGGAAACAATTATTGACATTCAACGGAAAAGGGAAGTAACTTGACCCCTCCATTAAGATTGTTAAGATTTTGTAACATGAAATCTGATATTGGAACATGTCAACTGAACATGCAGGTGTGACACTGCCAATAAATCAATATCTAAAGCCTTCTTTAAGCTTGACAACAAGTTTCTTGTTGCTGTCTTTATTCTTTGCCTGTTCTTGTCTATCTCCCAAATTATTTGAATGATAACTGGACAAGTTTGGCCATCTGTAAATAATGCTATTTTCCACGTGATAAGCCCTGGTCAATTGTTGTGTGCCTTGACAACTTTATTAATACTTAAATCAATACAAGAACATCCTCTCTAATTGAATAAATCTAAGTTCTCACTAGATCCAGCGTCTGACCCAACAATCGCATTAGTTTACAATTCCTGTAGAACCGCAATTCTTACTTCTGTCTATAATCTGATGATGAAAAAAGGGGTTTACGACAAAATCAATAACTTCTTTACAAAAAGTGAGAATAAATTGCCTGATTTTCACAAGGGAAGGGAATAAGAAACATTGTCTAATCTTAAACAACTTTGAAGACAAATTACTGCTTTATGTCAAAAGATTCATAAAGACCTATGCTAGTGCAGTCATTATCTTAAGCACATTAAAATACTTGGAAGTTAAACAAAGTTACACTTCAAATTTATACATTTCTTCAAGTATTTTATTTGTATCTACTCCACATAAGATAAAATTACTGCTCAATGGTAAAGTTGACAAGTTTTCAAAAGATCTTAAATTTGGAAAGAAAAAAGGAACATATATGCTATTGAGCCATAAATTGTTTTATAGATGTTTAAAACAAATCATTGACTTTTATTTCTGAGGTGGCTTATTACTTTTGATCCAAACACCATGTATATACTGTAACTCAAATCATTTACTGCTTCAAAAAAAAGATCACGTTTCCTTATCTTGTTAGCAGCAACAAACATTGGCAGACCTGGATGTAAACATAACACTCAAAATCAAATCAAAAATCACATCTGTGACAAAAAAAGGTTTTCATAGTTTCCACCAGCAAATAGATCACCTTCAAAACTTAGCCCTAAATTACCCATAAAAAGGTCAGGGAAACGTAAACATAAAGTGTCAGGGGTGCTCGTCAGTTTCTAAGAAAAGACAGACATTGAAATTCGAGCTCAGTGTTGACTTTTACCTCTAATGATGTGTATATTACATCTCTCATAAATATCTCAAACTGAAGTCTGGAACTGTCTGTGTCAATATTTATTTTACGCGACTTGGATTACATGTAGCACCATGGCATAGATACAGTAAGCATAGAAAATCTGGGGGTCTGCACTTTTGAGTCACAATAGGAACTTCTCAGTGTTGAGACATCAAAAAAGTGTAAATTGAAATGTGCAATATATGAACAACTTGAAAAAGTAAGATTTTAATGATATCTTAATCATTTACCAAGTTTCTCTTTCAATGAATGAAACTGGAAAATTGCTTTTGCATAAATCTCTTCATCTGTCAAAACATTTGAAGAAATCCTTCTTGACAAGTGTGTTCCTTAATTGAAAGACAGCCCAAAAAACTAAACTCAACATTTGTGTGTGTACAAATGAGTATGCCAAGGCTCATCATTTTTTTCATAATAATCAAACCCTACATTTGTGTAAAAAATGAACATCTTTGACATTCATTTAACTGTGTACTGTATTTTGCTTTACAGTGCAATCAATCAGGTACAGGGTTGTCTTAAACACATGTTAATTTAAGACTCATAAAAAAATCCCAATGGTAACTGTTGTTCCTCGAGCCCTGATACAGTACAGATTCTCCTGTCTAATTGAAACAGACATTGACACCCCCCTTTTCTTCCTTATGCTGAGAAACTTTAAGTGTGAAGGTTCATGATCCTATGTATTATATATGAGGCAAATGATTCAAAATCCTATCTTACTGATAGCTAGCTAATGCAAAATGTGTCCCTTGTCACTCTAAATTAACACCCACTTCAAAGTTGTCAATTTTTAATTCCCACTTCTCAATTTTTTGGTCTACTTGATAAAATTAAGAAACCATTACCGAACAAGGAAATTTTCCCATATTCACCCCCCCACCTTTCCTCCACTTTTTTCCTGTTTTGTTTTCAAAACAAAACTTCAACTGTGTTATTTTTTCTGTTTTTGAAACCTTTCAAATGAATGCATTCTTTTTTACCTAATAAAATCTTTTTTAAAAGCACACATTGATTTTTCTATACTGCATTTCTCACTTAATTTCATTTTTCTATTCCAAGAAGAAAAATCCTTTCTTTGCTTTGAAGTCATTACTTTATTAGGTTCAATAAGCTATACATTGGATCTATGAAGAGAAATCCCGATTTCCGTTTTCTCTTTATGGTAGTTTTTAGAATTTTACTGTTTTCCCAATACACCGAAGCCATAAAATATAATGAAGCTGACATGAATCTAAGAAAAAGGATTGCGGAGAATAACTGACTAAGATTATCCCAAATTGATCTTGACACTCAATTTCTGTTACTGACATGAATGGAAAGCGAGATAAGGACTTTTTTTATGGATCTTCACATTTTTGATTTCCAAAACGAAACTAGATATGTCCATAATATAACTAGTACAATGTTCCTCTATAGATTCAATTTATAGATAAAATATAAATAAAAGTGAATCTGAGATACCGTACCCATAAGAATAAAAAATATTTCTGATGTGAAACATAATTCTATTTTATACTAATTACAAACTAAGAAGGTCAATAAATCTATTCAATTTATTTCAACTGTTTAGTACTTTAAAATACATGTATTTGACCAAGTTGAATCATTTAAATTTCATTACAAATTGTTTCTATATACTCAACGTCTGTAATGAAGCAAAGTTAGAAAAGTCTTTCTTCCTTCGATTGTTTTCCTAAATCTTCCGATAAAAGTTTTTTTTGAACAATTCACATGATTGCTTTCTGAATTATTAATGCTTGTTGGTCCTAAGCTCCCGACAAAATAAATATAAATCGTGTTTTCCCCTCAAGACATCGTCACCAGGCTCAGCATGAGAGAACAATAATAGAGAGAAGATAGGAAGTAATATGCCTAGGAAATTAAAAATCGGATGCAATAGTCAGAAAACTTATCTCTGAGACCCTGACAGAAAGGACCTCAATATTTAATGTTCTTCTTTTATCAATGCAAGATAAATCAAAATGACAGTGCCAATAAGCTTCCGCAGATAAATCTATCAAACCAATCGTCTGTGCTTTTTTTTTCCTTCAATTTCTTGATTTGGCACAAGAAGAATCAACAAGCGAACTTCTAGTAAAACAAAGTCAGGAGTTCTTAGTCCTTTCAGGATCTGTACTGGCTATCATAATTTGGAATGGCAATTTCCTGAAATTACATTCTATGATCAATTCTATTTCCTCTTGGAAATATAATTAAATGACTTCCCATAATTCCATCCCTGTTATCTCCCCTTGATTTATCTTTTATGAGCCTGGGTTTGTGTGGAAGATGTTTATCTATAAATAATATTTTGTAATGTTGGGAAGTGGACAGCCAAACAAAATATCAGCGAGCACTGACTTCAAAGGCATAATTACCATTCTCCCCAATTATCTGACCCATACACACAAATACCCTCAGTATATTTATACAGTTACAAATAATACCAAAAAGTATATTCTTTAGCAATTACAGAAAGAAATGCATCTTGCTTCAAAAGAGTAAAAATAAATCTGCTTAAAATTTGAAATATCGATTCTATGGAGAAATAAGACAACAGAGGAGATTATTTTGTTTCTTTTTTATCATGGCTACTTAAATTGACAAGCATAAAGTGGGATTATGGTCAGCTTCCAGTGCCTTCCACTGAAGGGATGCCGCGAGATGACTGCAGTGTAATATTATGATGTCAATTAGATCTGATAAAATATTCAGCTTCCTCCAAGTTCAATGACTGGTTAATAGGATGATGGCACTAGTTTAAATTCAAGAGGTCAAACTTAGAAAAGATGACTTGATCTGCAAGGATGTTCTGTCTTGAACTACCTTTTTTCCAGTAAAAAAAAAGGAAGTGGTCTGCAGGGAAGCTCAATTACTCTCCCAAACCCCTTTTAAACATGAAAATGATGAATCCTCTTCTATCAGAAAGTTACGATAATCACAAAAAAGAATTTTGATTATACTATGGAATGCTAAAAAGGATACAAACAGATACCAAGACCAAGAAAAACATCAAGAAGATCACAGCAAAAAAAAATCATGGCCAGGGCACATACATAGGTAACTTCAAGACAACCAGAAAATAAATCTACAGAAATCTATCATTATCAGAATTTCCTGGAGGTTTGTGTAGTGGATCCTAGAATGTGGTCATCAATAATGTAGAACATTCCAGTAAAATTCCCCCAAGACACAAGGGAAGCTGAGAATTTGATGATTAGCTGGTGTGTATCCCCTGCCTGACCAGACACAGCTGTAGAGGTCGTGTGAGGTCAGTGATCATGTGACAAAGGGGGCAGACAGCTGGGATCGCTGAGTTACGTCCAATGTAAATAGATAGATGTGATAGATGAGGGTTTCTAATCAACGCTGACAGACATATCACAGGCCTGTAAAACTACAATCCCAGCAATGTTACTACGTTATAAATTGTATTTACCACCAACATCAGGGTGCCTGCATCATCAGCTAGCAGAAAAGTTTTAAAATATTTATAGCCAATTTTTTTAGTAATTTCAACTGGGTTTATAGCTATATAGGTGCTTGCTCATAAATTACATTACTTTTTAAGTTTTAATACACTTAACAAATTATAAGGTCTCATTTTTTTTGCACATTAGGTGTTGATTATAATTACAATCTTAATCAAGTGGAAAGAGTATTGTACATCATTTTATTGGCATTATTTAAAGTTATGTTGTAATGTTGAAGTTAAGATGTCTCTGCAGTCAAACACATGTATATAAAAGACCTCATTGACAACCTCTTTTTTTTTTTTAATTATCTCTCTTTTACAAGAGTCCTTGCCCTTTCAAGCTTATGATCAAGTCTGAATCTTGGGACATTTTGGAGTTGAAACTGGTGGCCAACATTGTGAAAGGGCAAGTTCTGGGGCAAATAAACAGTCCAAAATATCAGATCACTCAAGTGAGGTGAGCACATGTGAGCTAAAATCCAAAACAACTTCAAAAAATATTTTTACAATTAACACTTTATGCTGATGGATTTGCCAAATAATGAATTTAACCTAGGAAGATTTATGAGAATTCCACCTTTACTCAAACTTTATGTCCACATTTTGTGTACATTTTATTACAAAGTATAGATTTTTAAGTGAGTACACCAGCAAATTCTGTAAATTAATCACAGAGAAGGCTCAGGTTTCACAGCATTAATCACATTAATTAAGAGGAATTATGTGAAATCAATTTATTTTATCACAAATTTCGCACAATATGATTAAGGTTTGGCCCATCAAACCCTTTCACCTTGTGTTATCTTCCATTGCAGAAGGTTTTTACACATATGGACTTTTTTTCAATTACTCTGAAATCGGTATTTTATGTCTAAAATGATACAATCTCACTATATAGCTCAAGTTTTACTCACATGGAAAAGCTTTTCTGCTCTTCTAATTTTTTTCTTTTGCAAGAAAAATAATAATTCTTTCCTCATTACAGTAATATTTTAGATATTTTTAGATTCAGACTTTTACTAAATGCTCAATATCATATGCCACTTTGGTGTTTTTGTTTTTTTTTTCAAATACCTTTTGCATTTTGATTGGATCTCCTCCCTCTGAGTTTTTCCTCCATCCAATGGCTGGTGAACTGTCTGACCCTGTTGACATGGCACTGGAGTAGGTGCTGTAATTCCAGTTGTCTCCCCTTGTGGCTGCCAATTCACCAGGTGTCAGGACATGAGTCTGGCACTCCATGGAATGCTCCGACTCCATGGAAAAATTAGACATGGCTGATGGAGATTCATGGAAGGAGCTATGGTGACCATTACCATGGTAAAAGTTCCCATGCTGACCATAACACAGACTTCCTGTGTGGTACATTTTACCGTCATGAGGAAAGACCGGTGAATACAGACGTGGGTGACCAGGAGAATAGAACGTCACGGGAGAGTGAACATCTGACGGGCCGTAGAACCCTCGAGTTGGGGTACAGGACATGGCACGAGCTGCCTCGGGAGATTTCGTGGAGGGAGTGAACTCGATGTGACTGACGCTGTGAACTCGTCGGTGTTGGTAACACTCAAAACGATGACTAGGATCATTGCAGAAATTCGGAGAGGTTTTAGTCGGATCATTGGACAGGAATCGCTGGCAAACCTGACATCTGGTGACAATATCTGTTCAAAAGAAATAATCATGAAACAATTATTACAAAAAATCAAATGATCATGTTTGTATTTCAGCATTCAATTATCTATTTTTTTCAGTCAAATGATCCTACTGGCATTTTATATTTGAATCAATCAGATTCATTATTTCCAACAGACATATCAATTTAAAGTGATTTCACGGCATAATAAGAGACAATAAAGTTACGTAATTTCTCTCTTATTAACTTTATTTTTTCGCCGATCAGTCTATACTAATGATAGATCAGACATCTGAGGTTCGTTATTGAGATTAATTCTACATCTTTGAACTTTAGTAGGTTTATTGATTGTTTCACACAACAAAAATAATATTGCATGATCCTCAGATGGGCTTTGTTGTTGATTTCGTTACCATGGTAAGTTGCCGAGGGTGATTTAACAGGTTTGCCTCCTTGCTTTTTCTTCTTTTGGGCCCCTTTATGGTTTCCCTGGAAAAGAAATGAAAGAAAACCATCACAATCTAAAACCTCTATGTGAATCAATGTGGCTCTGATGCTGTTGCATCAAGTAATTAATGCATAATCATTTGAATCTTTACGATCTTTTTATGGTTCACCAAGGCCAGGAAAAAGAGTGGAAATAAACATTTTTTTTATGGCTTCATCAGAGAAAAACATGAAAAGTGCTGCCTTCTGCTTTTGATATAAATTTGATAGCTGTTCAATTTTTCATATCATTCCCATGCCTTCATTGTTAATCAGTGAATGGTTACATAAAACTATGCATGCTCCAGTTGTTGATAAATTGAAATAAGCCATTACCATGAACTTGATATTTTAAATGTTTTCCAGTAAAAGTGCCAAAACTACAGATTTCAATTCCAGTTCAGTTGGTTTTAGAACTGTAGTGTCATTTACTAAGATTTTTAATGTCGTTGTTGTTCTATCCTAGATGATCAATTTTCAGAGCAGGGAGATAATTCAAATTCCATGTACAAACCAAATATCAATTCCCCTACAAACTATCATTCCAACTTCATAATTCATATTAAATTTCTTCTTGTACAATCAAATTACCCATTGTATATTTTATGTACTTTGTACTTATTCATTTTTTAATACATATGTGTAATATAGTACATGTGTAACTATTTTCCTGTTCCCCTTTGATCCACCACACTAGAGAAAATAAACACTTCAAAGTGGCAGAAGACATTACACTTGGCATCAAGTGTCCCCTTCATGCTCTACAGCCTCTTGTGACAAAATGCCAGGCAGTCATCAAAGATATCCCCTCTCCTGATAGACATCAAACATGCAACAAATCCAGATTATATCCATATCACAACAACTGAAACTCGAGCCACTTTCTTAACAAATGACATTCCTGCTCATCTTTATTACACCAAGTAAAAGGGGTTTCTGACAAGATCATTTTTCTCCTGGCCTCATAGGAAAAGGATATATGGTGACATTTTTTTCATATTGAAATAATTCATTGTGCTACATGGACCTGCCTAGTGATGTAAAAATTAAAATATTTTGGGCAGATGACCTTAACAAAATCTCTCAAAAATTTCATAAAGGCTGCACTTCCTATGACAGTGTGCAAAATTCTCACAATATGACACATGCACCAGCGTGTCTCCCTAGCATATCCTTTGTAGTACCAAAGTCAAGCTGTACTCTAGTGTAGACCAGACAACTTATCAACAAGCATGCTGTGCTCTTCCTTCTAAACTCTGCCACCCCCTTAATACCTGAGCATTTATCATCATCAATTATCAATTTATCTCTCACCTTCATTTTGTATCAGAGGTATACACGATTTTCTGATTACAGTTGATGTCTCATTTTTTTCAGTTATCAGCTGTATACAAAAGTGAATGACACACAAAGACTATGAGAAAATTACTGCTTGGTGTGCATTTTTTAATCACACTAGTACTTTATAATACCCAAACACAACTTTGGATGTACTTAATAACTAGGTGTAGAGAAAATGAGATCCATAATGAATACAAATTTGAAAGCCTATGACCTTAGACTACACTACCAAGGAATCAAAAAGATTCCTTAACACCAAGACATGATCTGCAATCAGTCATTCTATCAAAAAATTTATAACAGAAGGAGTAATGTCCCTTTATCTTGGGTTATCTTAGTGTTCAGAAATCTCCCTTTGTGTTCAGTGATCTCCCCTTGTTTACAATGTTGTGTTTTGTGATGAAGCTTCCCTTGTACACACCTGCTGTTGCTGTTGTTGCCATTCTCGGCGCCTCTCCTCTTCGTACTGTTTTACCTACAAAAAGTGGGGAAAAAATTACATAAACTGAATGCACTACCATGACACCTGCTCTAAGTTAGAGAATGAGGGATGGAATATTGCATTACTTGAAAAATTTTGGGATGTTAAATCAGTCAAGAAATACCACCCCTCTTCGGGAAAAAAAGGATTTTCTATCAAGTTTTCATGACATGGTGATATCTAAACTCTTATCATTCTGTCCAACTTCCCATTGTAAGTCTTCTCAATATTTTTTTATGCAATGGATTCAACATGGCACACCCAATAAACATTTGTTTTGCTGATATGTATACTTTCAGTGTAATTAATATGCTAAATACCCCTATAAATGACATAAAAATCCCCACATTAAGACATCAGAAACAACAATACAGACAATGATCCCTTCCTTAGTGACAAAAGATCCGGATTCATTGCATCTTTGATGGCGACACAATTCTTCCATGATTTGTTCAACTTTTGGTGTTTTATTTTTTATACATATAGAAGGTGTATTACTTATATTTTTTAACATTTGATTTTTTGGGGTGACATTTATAATTCATAAACAAAAACATCAATTTTGAAATTTAAAACACTGACAATTAATACCAATTTTTTCCCATCATAATTTTTTTGCTTGTAAGCATTTCAGACTCATAAAAATACAGCATTATTTTTAATTCTCATGAAAAATAAAGTGCCCCGCCACAGCATGATACGCCCGTCAAATATATTGTTAAATAATCATAAATTGGTTAAGGTGCAAGAAAATCAGATAACCTTGATTAACAGATTGACACAGATTTCAATGATCTAATTTCCATTTCTTATCATGTTTAAAATATTGTACATACATCTCTAAAAGACTTACAGTGTAGGGATTAATTACCGGTATAACAAATAATACATCATATAATTCTAAACTGGCTGTGTTAGAACTTAACAAATATCCATCTGCAGCTTTAAATTGTTTATTGCATATTTTATGGAATAATGGAAATGCTACAGTCTAATAAAAAAATCAAAAATAAATTATTCTTTAGACTATAAAATTCTAAGTGAGACATGACTGCAATTTGTTGCAAATATATAAAAATTGAAATGTAATTTTTTTTCAATGAACACATGTATAATTAGTTTTAATCATATTATACAATACTAATTTAGTTTTAATCATACACTAAAACATCAATTTGTTTTAATTACATTACACATACACAGACTACCAGTTAGCTCCTGACAATAAACTCATTAATTTCTCTCTAATTTGACATGCAAATTTCTGCTATTAAAATTCTTCTTGACCAGTGCTTGATAATTATGCCCATGGGACAAACTGAATTCCTCTCAAAACATTAACATTTGTTACAGATTGCTGTTAAAGTATATGATGAGTTTTTACTTGATTCAACATTTTTTAATAAGGTTTACTTTTAATTATATTATACAATATCAATTAAGTTTTTATCATACACTGTATTTTAAAGCATCAATTTGTTTTAATTACATTACACCAATTGAAAGATCTTTTTCTGAACTAGCCATCAAGAACTCTTAATTAACACAAGCAACTATGAGGCCATTTCTTTTTGCCCAACTCCCAAGAGATTAAAGATAAAGATAACAGCTGCATTATCAGAGATCTGCTCTACCAGTTTGCTCCTGACAATAAACTCATTAATTTCTCTCTAATTTGACATGCAAATTTCTGCTATCAAAATTCTTCTTGACCAGTGCTTGATAATTATGTCCATGGGACAAACTGAATTCCTCTCAAAACATTAACATTTGTTACAGATTGCTGTAAAGTATATGATGAAAAAATTTATATATATATAAAAAAGTTTTTACTTGATTTAACATTTTTAAATAAGGATACAACTATATTTTTACATTTTTTAGGATTATGAAATTTAAAATTTTAAAGACTTAGTTTTTAAAAAAAATTCACTTAAATTAAAGGTCACAGTGACCTTGAAATAGGCCGCGACACACCTTCTACCTAAGATGTATAATTTTGCCAAGTTTGAAAGCTCTAGGTCTAACAGTTTTCTAGCTATGAGCCGGACAGGATTTTTCCATATTTGGACATAGCATCTTTATTAAAGGTCAGAACGACCTACTTTTTGTGCGCGACACACCGTCTACCCAAGAAGTATCAACTGTCAAAGTTTGATAATCCTAGGTCTAATAGTATTCAAGTTATGAGCCGGACACGAATGGACAGACGGACGGACGGACGGACGGACATGAAGCCTATAACATAATACGTCCCGTCTTAAGACGGGCGTATAAAAAGACTTATCTGGTAACATAATCTAAGGAGCATAATTAACTCCTGAGCGTCAAAAAACGTTAATTTGGGTGGGACTTTGGATTTTTAATATATTGTTAGCCCCTGTATTTTACCTTCCCAATTTTTTAGCCCAAATAAATTCCTCTCTCCATTACTCAAACAATTTGTTAGCACTCAAGCATCTCCCAAACAGCAGGTGTCCGACAAAAAAATCTAAATTTTGTCATCACCCACAACACCTTGTGTTTGTAAACAGGGAGAAAAATCATTCCTTATCTAAGATACCCTCTGTACTTTAAAATCTACCTGTACACTTGTTCATGTAGAATATAATACCCACTTTATAGACATAACACAATTACAGTCTTTCTTATGTATATTTCCAAGTAAATTCAATTTTTTCCAAATCCCTGCGGTATTTGCATAAGGGATAAACAGGTATTTTTCTCTGATTCAATATTAGTACAATATCATGGTCAGTATATAAATAGTGGGCATGATCATGCCGATTTTGACAAAGGGCACCTGCTCTTAATCCCCTTTAAATCGGAGGACTGATAATTCATGGTCTGAATCGGACAATTAGGTCACAGGGTTCAGTTATGACTATACCTTTTCGAATCTTTCATCGAATTAAACCACATGTACATGTAGGTATGCTTGTGGCTTTATCAATCAGAAAAACAACAACGGTGAAATTAACCTTCAATGAAGTAGACTGTCTGGGAATTCAACATAATGTGTATTCTATAATTTTTGTGGTTAAAGCGATAGACAAGGTACTTCAAATGTTGCCAGCCAGGGAATTTACTCATTTTCACTAAATGCTATAAATATATATTGTATTAAACTTTAATTTGTTTACAATTTTTTAAAACATAAATAATGAACTGTAAGAAAGACAATAGGAGATATGTCAATTTTCCCCTTCAAATTAAGAGTTATGCATAGCACAGAAACTACTCAGACTTTTTTTCCAATATAAACAAACCTTGGAGTGAGAAAAAACAAAAGTATATATCCATAGGAAATCCTGGACATTTTTAAGGGTTAATGAACAATTCCCTGTTAACACGAATGTGAGGGTTAAAAAAAAAAAACGGATATTGAGGTCCCAAGTGATGAACCATTCATCAAAATGTTTAGACCAAATCAAAGAAGTCATGACTTGGTTTATATTTAGACAGGATGGGAGGCTAATTAATTTATCCTATCATTCTAAAACCATAAAGTCTTCCATTTCATCTATTAACCAATCCTAAGAACTCTTAAAAGCATTGCTTTCTGAGGCATGTTGCAAGAGAAAAACCCTGCATTCTTCATTACTAACAAGAACAGGTGCTACAAGATGCTGCTAACTAATCTTATCTCAGTTTCTCATGCTTTCAATCAACTTTTTTTTTTTTACTTTTTTTTTTGACAAATGCATGGATATAAATAAAATTTCAACAAATTTCACAAGATATCTTCTTTATGCCATGCATGAAATCATGATTGACTTGTTTGAACTTGAAAAACATAGGCTTAAAAAATCATTACAAAAAAGATTAATCCTTAATGAAAAAATGATAAAAGTCTATACACATTATACAAAACTAATATAAAATTCTCCGGAAAACTTCTGTAAGATACAAATCTTGACAAAGTGCATTTAAGACCCTTGGAAAAATAAGACAAAATGGGAAAATAATCAGTTTTGACAGATAAGTTTGCATGATGCTCTTAGATAACAGACAATGATTAACTCGCTTGAGTAACAAATGAAAATTATTTCTGACATGATTATAGGTCTGACATCTAACAGACATGTAAATTTTAAGGGTAGATAACTGTGTAAAACATTAATAATCTTAAAGAATTTGTTTATTCCTGCAGATTCATTTTTCCTAATTTTATTTTATATGCAAAAACTTCGCATGGCCACAAGATGTATTTCAACCATCTAATAAGCAGATTTACAACTCACAAATTGTTAGTATCCAAATCAGAAAACTGATACAAAACATATGGGTGCCACTAAGGAGGAGAATGCCATTCCTACAGTGAACTACCGGGCAAAAAACACCAAAAATCTGAGAGAAGAAAATAGTGGGACAACAATAAAAACCAGAAACAAATGGCTGCATAGCACGACATAAAGAGGGTTAAATCGAATCGGGCCATTTTACCAGCGTAACACTTGTTTTCTCACATTTTTTGTTGTAGTACAAGTGTTTAATGTCAAGAATTGTTTGGGGTTTGACATGAAATCAAGGGATATAAAAAGAAGAATTTATACCTTTCTAATGGAAAAGTACTTCAAGATTACTAACATTAATGCACATCTTTTCTTGTAAGGAATTTAACCTTTTTTTTTCTTCTCCCACCTCATATAAAAAGCACTATAGCTATAAAACATGATTACCCCAGTATAATTCATTTCCCACAAAAAAGTGAATGTCAAGAGTTTAGTTAACAGACATTTTCCCTGGCCATTGTTTATATCTGGTAGACACTATTTTTCAAAATACACAATTAGCAACATGTCACATAATATCATAACACATCTCTCAAGGCCAGTTTTTCCCATTCATAAACCACACAGCTGACACAATTTCCATTATAACCAACTAGCAAGGAATAATGGCTCCTTTTTGAAAAAGTGTCTGTCGACTTTCTTTGTTCCTTTTTAAAATACAGAATGTAATTGTTTATTTCAAAAAGGCAGGAAACACTTAAATTTAATTAATATTTGGATTCAGTGTTCAACATCAAACAACTGAACTCAAAAGTAGACGCGATTAGATTGGCAAAGCATGTGACACCAGCCTTTAATGTCTCCCAGAAGACTAGTTGTTCATTAAGACTTTGTCTTATTAAATTAAAAAGCCAACTCTTAACTTTTTTTTACCTCTGACAATTTGTATAAAAAAAATTTCATTTAAATTTCTAATACTATCTATACTATTCTTCATTTTTGATTTGCTCTCTTTTTCCCAAGATACAAGACTCCATATATGTTTGTACTAATTCAAAAGATTTCGGTATCATTTGATATTTTGATAAACGTAGTTATATATGGAAATCCTTTAATTCCCACACCCCCCATTTTTATAGAACTTAAAAAATCATCTCAATCCAAACAAGGCTGTCTGCCATTAATCTGATGGGAATTCTCCAATTCTTAATCTCACAAACGCTTTGAGTAATCTATGGTCCCCCACGATTTATGTACTCGGCATTATTAACGGACATTGAGTCTGAATCCCGATCTTGAGGTCCCTTCCCGAGTAAATGACGTTTCTATTTTTTGACGGAGTTCACTTTGTCTGATTTATGTACAAAATGTTACAGAAGGTGACACATGACTCAGAATTTCCAGCAGACTAATGGCTGGATTTTTTTTATTGTCTACTTCAAGCTTCTAAACATTTATGCCCTCAACTTCGACTCGCAGCTGTTTCAAAAACATTTGTCTCCTATTCTGTATCTTTCTTATTTATGTATATTCATTTCTTTGCCAACACGCTCATAACTCAAAAAGATTCCTATTGAAGGCAAGGCTTATATTGACAACTTACAGTGTCCTAAGAGAAAAACAATCTGTTGCTAGAATGATAAATTTTATACCCTCCTTATAAAATCCAAAAATGTGTGCATTAAATGTTTTACATGCTGGTGTCATGTTTCAATCAAGAGACAGAAAAAAATGTATTAGTCAGCATTCACACAGATCTCTTTCTTCTTTCTTAAGGGTGAAGAAGCTCAATTGAGACAGAGAAATATATAGTTTCTGAGGAATATTGGAGCCTTTTAACTCAATCAGCGATGGGCCAATGTCTAGGTCTGACTCATAAATTACAATGCCCTTAGAGTAGCTAAATATTCAACATGGAGAAAAGGTGTCTACATGTAATATACTTAACCAAAGCATGTCGAGAGAAGAATAAAGTACAAAACTCACCATGGCCATGGCTTGCTCTGTTGTCAAGGTGCCATCTTTAACCATGATCATTAAAGCCTTTCTATCTTCATCACTCATGGTCATATCTGTAGCACACAAATCTCCTGTAATTAGACAGATTATTAACAGGATTATAAGATTATCAGCAAAAAATTTCAGCTCTTTTTTATTTATTTCAGGCAAGAGCTCATAAACTCTAGAATATAGGTACATTTATGGCTTTTACTTTTCATCTTAACTTTCTATTTCCCACACTTCTTGCAAAAATATTGAGGACTCTACAGTCTTTAATGTTTGGAGTATAAGAAATTTTATGAGAATTATCTTTCAGCAAAAGTGTTTAAAAATCTATAAAGATAATCAAAATCCTGGTATTACCATCATGAGGTTTATACTGGGTTTTCTTCCCCGACCTCCTGATGCCCATATTCCTAAAAAATCTCCCAAGTGAAGATGTTTTCTTGGTCTTGTCTCCATCTTGCCCTTCTGAAATGACATAGAATTCATCATTATCTACAAAATGTCTTCATTCCTTGTTTTATTAGCATGAGCTTTCCTATTTACACTTGATCAAATTTCTTTAAATTTACAATTTCTCTTATTTTCAAAGACTACCATTAAAACTTTGATGATTTATTTTCACATAACCATCAGAAGTTCAACAAGAATAAAAGGAAATGAACAGATAATTTTATTCTCAGCTTCAAAAATCTGTCACCAGAACTATAAAGAAACTCGCAAACATGATCTAAATGAAGGAAATTTCACTTCTTTTTAATGATTTATTTCAAGCTCTTCCAAATTAAAGCTCTCCAAAGACTTGAAAAGTCAACACTTTGAGAAAGCAAGCAGCAGAATTAAAGAGTAATTGAAGTCCTCAGAATTCCCAATCAAACACTCTCCTCTGTCAACTGTTGCTAGAAAATCCAATACACAACTGCTAAAACTGTAGTTAGAACCTGTCAGGGACTGATTGTCCTCACTTCCCAGGATCCTGTTTAAAGGAGCTACATTAAGTTTAACTGGATTAAATGTTACATTAAAACGTAACCTTAACAGTTCCCGAGGAGTGGAGGGTGTTTGAATGGTGAAAACGTGTGGCATATATCAGAGTTAGCTAGGAGATAAACAAGTATCATATTGTCACTCTCAGTGGAAGCTGTCAACCTCTCCTAATGTAAAAAGCATTCACTGTGAGAATTCTGAAAAGGCTGTTGTAACTAATTAGTCACATCCAAATAATTCCAGTATCTCTTAATGGTACAGTCAACAGTTTTATTCTAGTTTTACGCAACATTTCAATACTTTGATGCAAGCAGAATATTCAAACTTTGCTGTTCATTTGATGAAAGAAAGCATATGTCCATAAAAATACTTTCTGAAAAGTTAAATACAGTTGTACAATTTTTCGAAAGGTATACATGTAAATAGAAGAAATATTAGTATTTGCTGCTTCATGTACAACAGTATACATTTGTGCGTTTTTCAATTCTACAGTCAAACCTTTAATACTAGTAGGTAAATTTAGAAATTAGTAGGAATACAGGACATTCTTAAATCATCTTTTATTCAAAATTGCTGTAAAATTGTCAAAAATTACAAGAGAAAAGAAACTTTTACAAATTTTGAAAAAAAAATTTCTTCTGAAAAAAATAAAAAATTTTGCTTAAAGTTTTCATCCACAAGAAAAAGCAAATTTGACTGTGAAATGTACTTTATATCCGTCTGGTATCAATAATATATCTAGGCATCAATAAAGTGTATTTGCACAAAAAACTTCACAGAGTACATGCAAATTAAATAACAGAATATTTATTTCACTTTAGCATTTGCAAATAACCTATAATCTAAGCCCGCAAGATCATAAACCATGCATTAATCTATAGGCATGCAGTCACTACCTCTAATGGATGTTAATGGTATACAACAAAAACCTGTGGAGAAAAAGAAATTATCATGTCACCATAGAAATTAGAAAAAAATTATAAAATATCAATTGAAGTTTAATGAAAAGAAATACATCTACATGCAACACGAAAAAAATTATAAACTTTCACCAATTTATTATATATGTTAAAAACATTGCAACATTCATGAGTAAAAATTTATGTCTTTTTTTATGGTAACTGTACATATGTACATGTGAAATTAATATGTAAAGATATGCATCACAAGAATTAATTGTGGAGTATGCAAAATTATACCCTGCTTTTATCAAATTCAACAATTAAACCATCTGTTTTTGTACCATTTAACAATAGACAACTCAAAGGTCACATCCTAACCATATTATTCATTAGAGACATTTTATATTAAAAGAGACATTTTAATATATTATCATATTCTAAAGATTGTGGGCTGGTGTCTGCAAATCTACTGGGTCATAGTGGGGTTTGTAATTATAATATTTCATATACAGTAAAACACACTTATATTGAAATGCCAGGGACAGATGATAGTGCTCTTGTGCTTCGTTACAATCGTAATCCATTATATCTATCTAGCTACCAATGTATATCAAAGTCACGGGGAATGTGAATCACTTTGCTTTTCATTACAAGCATGTTCACTATAACTGTGTTTTACTGTAAGATTTGTTTTTGGGTCATGGATTAGAGGGTATTCACTATAAGCATGTAAGGAATCAACAGGTTTCACTGTACTAAGCACCAAATATTAGCATGATTGATTTCATTCCTTTGCATTTCAAGTCTATGTGCAACCTTTTGCCAGATATTTTTTTTTCAATATCTATAGAAAACAAAAAAAGAAAGAAAGAAATACTGAAATTCTTATAAATGGCTGACATGAGCCTCCTTCTACACAAACTCCTATAGGGAGCTGGTTTTGGCCTGATGACTGTATTGGTATTATTCTGTCTGTAGAGTTCCATGTTCCCAATTAGACGGCCATTGATTTCTGGCCCGTTCTTTCCAGGGAGGGTAACATAGTGACCAGACAGTGTTAGTGGAGCTGACAGTTAATCAGCCAAGGCTCAAAGAGTACCAGGCTTTCTCATGTTTCATGTGTCCAGAGCTACAGAGGAATCATTTCCCATGACAAAAGTCCCCATGTCCCAGCTCATAGTGTATAGGAATGTAAAATATCACAGAAAGGTTTGATTTTTATCACACAGGATTAAATCAATAAGGAACGTACAGTTTCTCTCAGTCAAATACAGTATCCCCCCCCTTTTGAAGACCGGCATCTCCAAAATGTTTAAATAATCATTATCATTATAAGGTGATTTATTATAATAAATAATTTGGTACAATTGTATGATCAAAGGAGGAAAATGTTGTTGAAAATAATATAAATCATGCATCCCTACCCAACCAGCACATCCAGCAAGTGTTCCTTGTCATGATTGGGAACAATGGTAATAACGGGAAAATCCGTTGAAAATTCAGAGTGTAAATAAAGATCTTTATTTTTAACATTACATAAGTTTGAAACCCAAAATTTCAGAAAGATTTTTGATCAACATAAAACACCATATAATTTGTTGGCTAGTACGAGAATTAAATTAACGAATATGAAAATCTGCTTCTTTTTCGTTGGTCTTTGAAATATTACCATTACGACTAATCTATTGATTTACTTTAAGTATACATTATTTGGTTTCCATGGCAATCAACTAACCTGTTAAAAAGAAAAACAATGATTTTTACCAGAACACTTGACAGTGAAGTGCCCAGCAAGCCATATTTTACACTCATATGTGACAGACTACACAAACAGTGGCCTGAGAACTTTTCATAACTAAAATGGCTTTGAGATTCTAAAACAAATAAAAATCAAGATTTCAGAAAAAAGATGAAGGAACAGTTTCCCAAAGTAAAGTGTTTGGTTAAACAGAGAAGGTTCTTCAAACAAGTGGAACTGTATTGATCTAAGGCTGTTTTTGCCATTCAACAGTTTTGTTAGGGCAGATGGGGAGAGAAGAGGAGGCACTCATTTATTAAAAATTCTGTATCAATATTATTTCTAGAGTAAATGGATGAAAGTGTCTGAGACTGGCTAATGGCTGCAGACAGGGGCCACAGACAGGGGTGCTGTGGACACACTCAGGGCTGATGCCACAGAGGCCAGCAGAGGGGGGCCACAGACAGGGGCCAACACACATGGGACAACACAAAGGGGCCACAGACAGGGGCCGACACACATGAGACAACACAAAGGGGCCACAGACAGGGCCAACACAAAGGCAGGGGATGACACTCTCTCATTTCTCCATCAGAACTCCAACCTCTCAAAAAATGTTCAATGGAAGAAATTATCCTGATATTTTATGCTGAGCATCCTACAGTTTGCCCTACAGCACATCACTGAACATGAATATTATGGTCAGTCCATTCATTTTCCCAATCATTAGATTGCTATTTAGAGAACTTATGGGTGAAAAAACTGATTAGCAAAAAACATAGCTTCCTCTTCACACAACAGATAAGGTGGCCTTCAAGAGCAGTTAAAGGCATAGAACTTACCGAGATCCATAAATTATTGATCAAATGAAAACTTGCAAGGATTTTTGGAGGCCCCATTTTTATGATAGAGATATATTTGCATTTTTTTCTTTTTGAGAATGTATTATTTAATTCTTTTGGGCCCTTTTATACAAAAGCCATCATTTTATATCATGTATAGATTCAAATTTTATGTTCTACACACAAAGAAATTCTTCGATCCTGGCAACCATAGCAATAACTGCTCACAATTTTTGAAACAGTATCATCCCTCTTTATGGGATTAAAAGTTTATCAATGACAAATTAGAATCCATCATTTTCATTAGATTTTTCCATAACATGCTTCAATCTGAAATGTTGGAAGACAAAAGATGCATTGAGTTCTAAATGAGAAAATTTTCAAAGCTATTGATAATTTCTTGGAAAATGTTCTCGTGACAAAATTTGCCTTTAATATTGGAGGGAAAAAAATCTTTAATAACTTGTATAACCAATTAATTCTACCCTGCTGCATGCAAGCTGTCTTAAAATCAATAGCAGATCATTAAAAAAAAATCAGCTAATCTAGCTAAAAAAAATCCTTTTTTCTGTATGATTTACAATTGCCAATATTCATAAACTAACAAGAACTCGAACGAATTTTTATTAATAAGACTGACTTTCTTTTCATTTTATCGATTCATATGAGCTTTAATTAATGCTAATATTGTACTGCGTCATTTCATAGCATACAGAAATTCTTTCAGGCCCTTCAAAGTTCAAGCTACATGGGAAGATAAGTTAGGCATTTCTTTTTACATTTCTTTACACTTAAAGTACAATATATCTTCAAACTTTATTGCCATGAATTCCGAAGCTATTCAATCGACTTAAAAGCGATATTTTTGGACTTTCTATTGCATAGAAGTAATGTATCAGCTAACATTTATCATACGGTATTGCAAAAATGTGAAATCTTTGATCATTAAAATAGCAATAAACCTCTTTCTTTGTTTTTCTTCCAGGCAGGGAGTGATGTAATGTCGGACAATCATGGAAAGTGGCATCAACACAAAAACACATAAGATGCAACAGTTGCAGTGGATGAGACATTAATTATCCCAACCCAGCTGCACTTTTCAAAACAGGTTACACAGTATTTATACGATTTGGACTTTTCTGCAATAACATGCACATTTTTGAGAAACTCCCACAACACATTTTGAAGAAGCCATGATAATTGATTAAGAGATCCTGGTTAAAATGACTTACCAGAACCAATAGTCATGTAGTTAGACTGGTACAGATTGGTGTCTTGCCTGAAAGAAAAAAAAAGCAAAAATTAAAACCTTCCATAGGACAAGAATCAATATTAGCCAGTTTTAATAAAGATATTAATGACCCCCCTACCATATATATCACCTGAATAGACATTCATTTTTTTTTTTTTTTACATTATTGTAGAAGTACTTTTCTCCAAGCAGTATTTATGCTATGAACATGTACAAACACAGTCACAAATTGTGTGCGAAAAAATTATTCAGGTATACTCTTCATTGAAAACTGCACAATTTTCTACCAGTGAATTGAACAGAAACTGTGACTCCAAAGAATAATAACCATGTGAAAGAAAGCATATATATTTATAGTCCTATCAAGAGAATGATTATGTGTAGATGCAATGGATATTGTTTCTTTTGAGTTTACTATATAATTTAAAATTGCAAATATTGAATAAAGGTGACTTGAAGTCCATGGCCTACAATCTATGAGGAAAATTCTTTCTACTACTGGCATCCTTATTTGCATTTTTTCTCCATTGGGAATAATAAAAGACTCTGAGTTTGACAGCCAAACAGTTTTATCTATGGCTCCTGATATCATTAAACCATAACAGAAATCACACACGACAATGAAACAACTATAAATCCACCCCTATCAGGCCCACCAATCACAGCCTAAAACTGCTCCCCCTTTCATAGGCAAAATCTCTATTGTATCATAAATTTTCTTTTACATTCAAATTATTCTCTTTTTTATGAACCCAGATCAACTTTTTTTGTTAGGAATCAATAGTCATGGCCGATACAGGAGAAGCAAAAATGGTTAATTAATTGCACTGTGATGTCATTTCAATTTTTGTTACCATTGGTGGCTTACTTCCATGGCAACAGCCAATCAGAGCCCAGACCTTCCTTTAAAATGGCCTGCAGCCAGGGGTCAGATGCTGATAAGGTCATTGCCAGGCAGATGGAATCAAGGTTCTGGGAGACAGCATTGACAGATATACCTGACAGCCACATCAAATATTCATGGACTCCCTAGCAGATAATCTGTCACCCTCCACAAATTTACACCCCTGCTCTGATTTTAAGACAATGCGATGAACCTCCCTATGGTCTTAATGTATTTTTTTCCAATATCAGTAAAAAACAAGAAACATATTGACGCAAGCGTCAAAAATCGGCCGCAAACCAATTAATTAATTCTTTCATAAAACAATTAGAAACTGAATTCTTATATTTATCTGTTAATTGATATGTATCCCTCTGACATTTAATATTGGAATTGCTATTTTCCAGGATTTTTTCAGACATAAAACATGTACATTGCTACATGTATATTGTATTTAAGCAACTTATTCATAGTCCTCTGCGTCCCCCGCACTCAGATTCATTTGTACAAAAACGAACTCTGGCGAACATGCTTCCATAATGTTTAAGTAGTTTGTACAACTTAACCATAGAGGATGTTAAAAGAAACTCCCTATATATCCGCCACTACATTTCTTCTCTATCTTGTTTTGGTGTGAGATGTGGCGGGAAAAGGCTTGGCATATTGTAAAACGCGCTTTATCCTTGTCTGTTGGAGAAAAATCTCCTAATATTCTGTCTGATAATAAATTAAGATTAAGTCATATTTTTGAAAATTTTCCGTATTAAAAGTGTATTTTATATTTATATTTACACGTCATTTTAAATTATACAAAAAATCCTGTTGAAGTAGAGAAAGTAAATTTGTTTGTATATAACGCGGTCCTTGCTTTAGACTATGCCCAACATGTGTGCTTATTTCTCCGCACTTCAGTTACGTCGGAGTTTGTCAATCATGATTGGTTGAAACATTTAACCCATTATTTATAAAATTTTAATCTTATGATTATGTGCGTTTTTGTTTAACATTTAGTCACTCTTTCTTAATATTCTAGCTATTACATGAATGTTAAATATTTTTTATTCAAATTGTTCTAACTCCGCAGAAACGCACGGCAACTTAAAACTTTCATATCATATAACCGACCGCCTCCTGGCGGCCGGTAAAAATCTTTTTTATCTGCTAAAGTAAAAAAACAATTCATTTTTAGAATACACCATACCATCTGTACAAATAAAATGTGTTCTTCAAATATTTACTTGAATACCACATGTTTATTCACAATTTTTACTTAGAGTCAACTATTTATCCATTTTCTGTTTACGCATTTAACACAATTTCTTTACTACACCATCTGGACATGTTTCAGAGTTACTGAGTATGCAAACAATCATTTGTCTAACTGCCATAACCTCTGTTGTCCATTAATTAGGGTACCAGCAATTAGTACTGCTGCTCACGACAAAATGTATGGATGACTTTTAAAGCTGAAACAAGTGTTTGTGCATGTCATCTCTAAGTGGATTATTGGACTGTACAAACTACTCATTGACCAGTGGTCCAAACCACCAAACAATAGCAACCAGGTAACAGATTTTTCCTGTAATACAGTTTGTCAACATCAGCTGCTACCATTGGATCAACACGGAATGTTCCTTTGAGGCTAAATTGGATTCTGCTTACTCTCATTGAACTTACATCCTCAACAAAACTTGGGGACCTGACAGACCTTTGATTTGAATACTTCTGCAGTAGCACAGTCTGGCTGTTATTTCATTTATATTATGAGGACTCTTTCAAGATTGCAAGATTTTCACTATTCAGAGGACTTAATTAAGAAAAGAGCATAATAATTACTATTCAAATTGATACCATATGGAATAGAAACAAAAAAAGTCAAGACTACTAAGAATTTTTAGGGCATCAAAGTGGTATACTTATAACTAAGTTAATCTTTTTTAAAACAACAAAATATATTATATGTCAAGAACATTTATCACTATCATTCATTTCAAGAGACAAAGTTCAGCAATACTTCTAAATTTTTTTATCACTGATATCAGCTTGATAAATATTCTTCTAAATTTTTAATTTCAACTAAATCAATCAGATTCCTACTTTAGAGAATGTAGCCTGTTTAAGAGCGTGGTCAACAATTATCACCGCAAGTTTACATACTGAAAAATAAATACCACCAATCAAGTTTCCTTTTACAATTCAAAAGAACGTAGATAAAAAGAGTTCTTTTTGCTACCATTCAAGTTTTTAATGCCTTTAGCACTTAATACAAATACCAGCCATCACCAGATTAATTGAAAAAGAGAAAGAGGAGCTGTCAAAACTACAGTTCTGAAATCCAAATATCCCCCAGCAACCTACACTGATTAGACCCATTAGACCTGTATTGTGCTCGGTGATAGATCGTAATCCTTCACCCCACACGACAATAGATGTAGGTAGAGTCTAATACCCCTCAGGGACTTTACAGGCCAACACACAGGCAGAATCTGTGATTTATTCTCCATAAATGAAAAGTAAATTCGCGAGCAATTACAATTATCACTACCAAAACATTTAAATGCCAAATAAAAAAAGTGGTCAAAACCTCTTTTCTTTTCATCTGTAAGATATAAAGAAAATAGAAAAAGCAGTTTATCCTGATTAAGGAAATATTTTTCTACAATTTGATTGATATGGAATGCCCACATAACTACGGAGGGATATTGAGCTGAACAAATTCAATAGACTAATATACTCTCATTAAAATGCCTGAAGTCCCCTTAAATTTTTCTTGAACTTGGTAGCTATTTTATCATTCTTTCTTCAAGAAATTCAAATTGAAAAGTTCGAGTTGATGTAGACCATAAATCTGTAAGAGGCACAAAAATAGGTCATCTGTGAACATATCATATTTTTGACATTATATATGGAGTACTCTGCCTCATTTCAGGACTAATCTTAATGATGCATCTGCATGGTTTTTCTACATAATGGAAGAAAATGAAAACACTTAAGACCAATTTCAGAACCCAGAAATGATGTCTGCACTTGATGGAGAATTTACAGACTCTCAAGACAAGTGGATTCACACCCTAATCATTGATCTGCTCTTGAAAACACACAAAATCTGAGGTCCCAAAGATCCACTCGACAAAAACATGAAAAAGCAGTTATCGGCATACTTTGCAATGTCTATCTTAATATTGCTTTCACCCATACAACAGAGGAAAAACACTTAAAAGTTTGCCTATCTGGATTTTTAAAGACATCATAATAATTGCATTTTAAAGTTAATGATGCTTGTATCCAGTTATTTAACAAATAATTCATTAAAATTTTTTTATTTACACATGTCACATAAAATTTATCAATAGAGAGTATTGCAGAGAAAAAAATAAAAGAGAGTTTTTATTTCTAAATGCTCTGTGACTTTATGTATACAGGCACTAAAGATCAAAGTGGTTCTTTCATTCCTAAAAACCATCCATCAAGGTGTCATATGAATCTCCACCTCTTGGTTTAATACTCAATAGGTCTGATGTTTAAGCATGTTAAGAAATGTGTTTCCTGAATTAGCCTTGTATCTAGATAAGATGGATATCAAAATAACAAGCCTGGGTACGAACTTTATGGGTTATACATTGATCTGTGTGGATTGTCACCTAAGGCTCACATTATCAGGTTTATCTACACGTCCATATAGATAACATTGTCAGAAGGGGACAACCCTGGAGTACGCCAATGATGCTTGGAAATTACTTAACACTTATATTGATAATGCATAATGATACTGATAAAGACAAATTTTCTCTCAACACCCACAATCTATACCATTTACATCACTTTATAGTTAAATGAGCAAGATTTCATAAATGAAAATTATATGGTCAAACAAGCAGTGAAAACTGTAAAAGTAACATCAATCCTTTTTCTATGAATAGAAAATATCAGGCATTTTAATTAGTTTTAAATAATTATGTAATTTTAATTCTATATCTAAAGACATTTCATTCTGAAACTTCTTCCAGTATTAATTTATAAGTCTGCGGATAATTACTCAATGAAATAAGTGTAAAAAATGCATATTAAGGCTTTAAAGTGAAACAAAAATTGAGTAGGCCAAACAGAATACAAATGCATCAACTTAACTCAATACCATCAAGGTTACAGTAAATCTGGTGTGAAAAATAAATTGTACTGAATCGATCCAATGAGAAAAGTAAACTCTTGTCATGTGCTTTGAATGGTTTAAATCCCTGCCTTTATACATGTCTTTGGTCAAGAGAAGGGATAATGTATGATGACTTGTGTCTTACAGCCATGAAAATAATTTATGACAAAGTTTCTATTACATAATGTGGCAATCTGAGAAATCTCCTATTGCATGCTTTCATCTCTTGTCTGATCTCCTCAGATTAACAATAAGGTTGTGCAAGTAATGTACTCTAAAAAAGCTATTACATGGAAAAATTAGATAAAAAAAGACCTTGTCACGCAATAAAAGTGAATTTCTTAGTAGCAAGCTTTCTCTGCTTTGGTAAGATATATTTCCTTGTAAATTTCAACCTTTAATTGTAAGCTCTGAAAAGCTCTTTTACAACATCGCCAAGGCTGAATATTTTACCAACAATCCATTATAATTAAAAGTTTTTAGAAAATACTTAGTAAATGAATGCATGCAGTCAAATGTATAGAAAATCAATCTATCAACCATTAAATAATTCTTTTTGATGTTATGAGCACTCCCATGAAATATTTTACAATCGAAAAATAAAGTATGTGAATTGATAACCTAACAACATACACACTCTTACTTTAAAAATGAATTGATCCAAGTATTTTAAACTTTTCTTTGGTTCAATACCTTGGTAAGAATTTTTAATGGTGTTATCATATGATGCATCTATTTAGTTTTCCCACCCTTACAATACAAGCAGGAAATTTAAAGCATTCTCCAGTGAAAGAAAAAATGATATTAATGCATGCAGAACTTTCAATACTAGGGACATGGATCAAATCAATTATAAATTATCTCCTTATCTGAAAAATGACTTTTAAATGTCTGAGGTAAGAAAATATAACAGGTTATCTTTTTGTGAGAGGCAAGAAAAAGTTGTGCACTTTAACAAACTCTAGACATCATTTAGAATATACACTCTCTGTGTCTACAGGGGAGAAATCATCTGCATCCGGTGACTCTCGTAAGACACAAAGAGAGATTGGCCATTGCACGCGACAAAGACTTTTGTGAAATGCCATACTAAGAAAAATACAAAATGAAATCTCACCTGGTATGGAAGGTGTGGAGTTTTCCCAGTCGGTCCCCATCTAAATGGCTTGTGGCAGGCTGCAATGTAAAAAGAAATTTGCAGTTTAGACACAGGACATATTCTGTCATCAATTCAGTGGTTACTGATATAATTCATAAAAGCATGAAAATGTCTCTTAATTAAGAGATGTAAATGAGATTAGTCGTTGCAGCAGTTCAATATTCAACTGCTTAAAACTTAACTTCAAACTTAGATGTAAACTTCACATTTTTGAGAAATTGTATTTATTTCGAATTTGATTAATCAAATGTTTAATTGTTTGATAATCTTGAAGGTGCTCCCAGGACATCAAAATTATTGATGAACTTATATAAAGACATCTTAAGATGTAACTGATGCACAGTATATAAGGAAAAAATATATACAATAAATCATACTGCTAATTGTAATGTATCCGATATGTATTTCAGGTATCATTCGAGCAAAGTACGTAAAATGAGACAAAGGTGAAACGAAAACACAACAACTTACATTACGATAGATACAATTTCATCTAACTCTATGACATGATACTGTAACATATATAACGACTATATACAGTGGGTTACAGAACAGTACAATACTTACAGGGGGACATTCAGGGAGAGCTGGGGGGATGCTGGCCTGCAGGGGGGTGTGAAGGGAGGGGAAGTTTGGACACCCTGGACTGGGGGTCCCTGATGAACAAGACACAGGTGAGATGGGAGCCGTCTGTAACAAAACAATAAAAAACATGGGAAAATATCACAAGGTTGGGCATCTACAAAACGAGAGACATTTACTTTGTACAAACATACAAACAATGTACTGACATGATGAAAAAGCCCCATGAGCAAAAATGTAAATATAATTTTCACAGCATGCAACAATTAAAGGGGCTGGAATTTTGCAAACTGGATCAAACAAAGTGAACAGTTTAATAGGAGAGGGTTTTTGTGTGGTTGAATTGTAGGCCACGGAGACACAGTGCCGAGATAGAGTAGGATGGAGCGTTATTGATACATCTGATACCATTGTAACTACCCGAGCAATCTAACCCTGTACGCCAACCTCTGGTGAATTTACACATTTGAGGAGAGGTGTGGGCTATTAAGGCCCATGTATCACAATTCTACCCTACTTAAACCTTCTCACCCTAGGGCACACAGTCAGAAGTAGTCTCCTTCCTTCTGCCTCTGGGGCTTAAGTTTCTTCTCAACAGTGACTGGATCATTTAACAGAGAATTTTAATGGTTATCAACAGTGGACCATGCACCCATAAAGTAACACTGCATGCTTGATCACCTGTCCCTAATTTGCATAAAAGTGTTAAAATATACCTGCCCCTTTGATTTGGGAGAAATTCAATTTTCAGTAGTTGTAAAATTCTTCTTGAGCCTAAAACTAGTTGAATTGTCAGTGGATAATTTAATGGGTATTGAGAGGGGCCATTTCATGGCTCTTTGCCGTGCCTCTATGCCTCTTTAAAGCTAAGTAACATGGTGTTAATGTGGACATTATGGGGTTTATAACCCCGTCAACACCAACTGATTTCAATTTCTCAAAGCCAGAGCTACACCCCATTAATCTTTGTCTAACAGTTCAATTTCAGCCTACTTCTATAACTGTGTCCCCTTGAAAGTTTTATTAATCATTCTCAAAATTTTAATTATAATTTATAACCCAAACTAAGAACAAATTAGAAAGCATAAAAATTTGTCTTAGTGAATTTTTTCACACAACGATTTGAACATCTGCTTGTATTCAGTGGTAATTGCATCTCCAATGAGTCTGTTTTACAAATGAAGTCACTTCTTAAGATGCAATAAATCTGCCCTTATGCACATGTGACATCCCTCAAAGAGCCCATAAATCACCGAATTCTGTCCAATTTTTCCTCCAAATTTTCCTCCAATCTAACATACAGACTGGGCCACACAGCTTCTGTAACCCATAGAGCAACCTTGAACTTTGCATCAAATCTGCAATTCTCTTTCATTTCTCTCTATGATTTCTACTTCTCCCACATATTCCCTGGGGCTTTTGGAGGGTTTTTTACTGCTAAAATTCATGATTAGTATGAGTTCATCATATGCCCAGTAATCAAAGTCACCCATTACATGGAACACGATATTCTAGACTTTTGTGATCTAACAGCATTATGATTTGTTTCTAGACATATCCCCAGAATTTCTGGGTGGTCTTCAGTAATTTTTTGCTACATAAATATCATATTGTCCAGCTCTTGTTACCATGGATAAATGGTGGGCGATAGACGTCTCATAAATAAACAATTTATCTCTAGTAACCAGTTGATTATGAGTTAGTTTAAGGAAACATTTGTATAATTGATAACTAAAACTACTTGAATTTAAGATGTGCCATATTGTCCCAAGGTTCTTGTTCTGATAAGGGGCCACTGTTTCATTTGCTTGCTTGTGTCACCTCACTCAATGTAATTCTAGACCAAAAATGTATCAATTTATATTTGCACAAGCTTGAACTTGTATATCAACTACTGGATAAAAACATGAATATTTCAAAACCATATCAATATTTCATAAAGAACAATTTACTAATTGGTGATCCTATGTTGAAATTTAAGTATTATTTTCAAATTGATACAAAAGTACACACTCAATGACATTTGATACTGATGTCAATTTTATCAAGTTGAACTTTACTTCTTGAGGAGTAGCTCTGATAGACCAAGTACACATAGGAAGTCGATGTCATTCAATTTTCATTATCCCCCCAATATTTTATTACAGACCACAAAATATTTAGTTCTCATCCGAGCTCAAGGAAGCCTTACAGGGATGCAATGAGCCAGAAGATGTCAACACTAGATGCCATGTCCACGAGTTCGAGATACACAAAATCGATATTCTGCTGATATATTCGGCAGACCGAGCTAGTCTATACCCTCAATCTATCACAGATAGGTCTTTTTATGTGGTTTATCATGAATGGAAGAGCAAGTCCTCGCATTTATATTCCTAGTATTGAAAATCAACAGATCACTATAAAACTAGGAGACTTATTGTTCACAAAGCTTTCATGAAAATCAAAAATAGATCACTATAAAAAAAAATTTTCTTAAAGGATAAAAAAATCTGGAAATACGTTCAAATGTTCATCAAATGTCTCAAAATGCAATTGAAAACTTTTAGTTTTTAAGTTAAAAGGTTTAATCAAATACAAAGACGTCATAACTCATATACAAGCTTCAAAATATCTGTAGTTATGCCTAAGATCCTAAAAATTAGTGAAGGTTTGGTGTCTTTTAGAAGTGCATTACAAGGTTTTTTGTCGAAGGTCAGGGTAAATATTTAAAATAGTTTTAAGAGTACATATTAATGATGCTAAGACATTAAGTATATGTTGCATTATAACAAAGAGCTTAATTTCTTTTTTTTTTGACCTTTGCATTATTATATAAAGGAAGAAGACTTCCTTCACTTCTCGTTTTGAAAATATTTAACTAAATGATAAAAAGAATGTGGGGATGAATGAAAAATAAACAGTGAAGGTTTCAACATCTAGATAGCGATAACAAGGTTTTTCGTACAAAGATAACTTTTACAGGGTCTATCTTAAGGGTTTTTTAACTATACACACAAGAAACACAAAACATCCACCATGCCAATGCCTCTAAGCTGTTTTCACAGATTCTCCTATCTAAATTAATTCATTTTTTACATTGACACATGCATTTTATCCCGAGATGCTAGAAGTTTGTGTGTGAATGATTATTAAGTGATAGACCAATTTCTTCATAGATTTCATCAAATAAACAAAGTGGGGAAAATAAATCTTAAAATCTTGGAATTGTTTATTCTGCATGTTCCTTCATATTAACATTTAGGTCTGGTAGTCTGAAAATTCACTGATGGGTTCATACTAACAGTTTATTTCTCATAATTTTGTATCAAATAAACAACTATGCAAATACTCTTGGAAATACAGAGAATAAGCACAATCTCAGACTATTCAACACAATATTAAAACAATGGACTATTGAAAATTATTTATTAAGTGATAGACACTTTTATATTTCATCAAATAAACAAAGTTCTAAAAACTTGGAATTGTTTATTCTGCATGTTCCTTCATATTAACATTTAATGCACCTTTCTATTTCTATAATTTTGCAATTGCAACTTGATATATCCAAGACTTACATTAAAACAATGGCAATAATTTTTAAAAACAATGCATTTTGGTATCCAATTCCAAACCTTCCAACACAACTACCAGGGATAATGTCCAATACAAGGTATATGTCAAATTTCAAATGCTCTTTTGAAGTGAGTCCTTTTATGATGAATATGACCTTTAACCCTGATATCTTGAACCCGCAGATATCCTGACGTCCTGACCTGTTAGAGATATCCCGGTTTGCCTGTACTTACCGTGTAATGTGTCTGGAGATCCTTCTGAAGCACCCATTGTCTTAGTTCTTCTAACCTCTCCACGACGTCAGATGACCGCGTCCTCAGCTGTATGGCGTACTTAGCAGCCAAGGTCATCATACTAGAGTGGCACGGCGTCCAGTCCTTAAAAAGAAAGTACGTACATATACTTGAGATGTAAGAATTTATATTGCTACTACATAGTCATAACACACAAGGCATTCAATTTGCTGAGAATGATGCATTGCTTGGCAATTAAATAAAGTTTTGCAATACATTAATTCTGTTTTTAAAGAATTCTACCAGTGCATCCTTATCAAATATAATTTTTATGATTCTTGTGTAAACCTATATTTTTGCAGTTTCTTTTTTTTTCTCAAGCTGTATCCATCTGTTCATTATGGGCATGAATCAACAGTTCTCACTTAAACATTTTATATAATATTCCTCATCATAACAGGATTCTTTGTTACTTTTCTAATAACAAGCGAGATTCCATCACACTTCAACTCAAGTTGTTCATTTGCCAAGACCTCACTCCACAAACTATACAGCAAATATAATAGAGTTTCATCTGATGGAGACCAATGATTTCATGTTCAATGATAATAAAAAAAGCCTAACAGCAGAACTGCTGATCTATTGAATAGAAGCACAGCAGGAAAATCTAATTAACATTTACAAGAGCTAATTATCATTAACTGAAGATGTTGGACAGGGGTATTGTGTAATAGCTAATCAAATGTTGCCATATTTACTTTCCTCTGGCTCCAGCGTACCTCTTACTTTCTCCCTTCCTCTTTTCAAGATGTAACAAGCTCTCTGAAATTTCTGGGCAATTTTTCAACACAAGAAAACGAGGGAAACATCAGCATGGTTTTATGACCATTGATTAGTTTCTGTATCGGAGGCATATTTTTAGTTACAAGTGAATGAAAAACATGACATCGATACAGATAATCCCTGACGCAACATCTAGACATCAATTTCATGGGGGAAAGTTATTCACCCTGTAATGATTTTTCCATGAAGTAATTCTGCTCTATTTGTACACTCTGCTATTCTAAAACCCTTTATCTTTCAACGTCAAAGAAAATGGGGAAATTTTTTTCTTCATTGAATGGATTTTTTATGGGCGGTTACCCTTTTCTTTTTTTCTCTATGGACTTGCTGATTTACACCTGCTTTAGAATGAAAGGCTAGACTTAAGACTAGTAGTGTCAGCTGTATGCCTTTATCATGATCTTGTCTGAGAATTATTTTATCTTGTCCTCTGTTGTTGATACTACTGTCTAGAACGATAAGCCCCCATAATTCCACTGCTTCTGCCCACACCTCATACAAGCACAAATCGTGTAAAAAACAAAACGATATCAGTTTGAAAACATCTCACTCCTTGTCATATTGTGACCTGTAGAGAATTTGGATTGGAAATCATGTTTATCCCTAAAATTTGTCTTTGATCTTTATAGAAGAAATATGTTTCTTCCAGGGGGGTTAATTAATAAAGGGAGATAACCCAGTTCAGACTGATCCAACCTGCATGAAAGGTGTTTGGGGTTAATAGGTTCTAGAAATATACTGTTAAGATGACCATTAGACCCTGTGAAAATAAGCACAACAGATGCTTTAGATCAATCAGATTTACTAAGGGGAGAGGAAATAATTTGAAAGGTAGTGGTAGGTGGTTTGGGAGGGACATTCGCAATAACAAACTATGCTGCCACACATAAGATAGTGCTCCCTTAACTCTGACACAGCTAGAGTTTCAGGGTTTGTGGGTAAAGGGTTCATATTGGATCATTATTTTATATGAAAAAAATATCTACTCTACTCATTATATACAACAAAAAAAAACCTAAATTTAAAATTGCATGAAATGTGTAGGGAAAAAAAAATTATTTGGCCTAAACTTCGTAGACTTTGAGAACCACCTGACTGACAGTCTACTGAGTTCAGTACATTAGGTTAGAGCACCTGTCTAGCGGGATCTCTGTTTATCACTGCCATTCTACTGAGCAATCCCCAAGATGTACATGTTTCATGTCAGCTAGCACTAAGGAGGTTCAAATAAAGTGCAAAATTTCATCTCATCTATCTGAATTGCATAGCTAGCATTTGAGAAAGCTAGTATCTAATATGTTCCAATTTTTACGATTGTTTTTTGGTTTATCTATTGGAAAAGTTTCATCTTCTCTTGCCTCAAATGTTTATCAACATGCTCTTGGGCAACAATATTTCTGTAATGTAAAATCAATTCTAGAATATCTGATTGCATGCTGTCCTAAAAAGCCCATTTTTTATGATAAAGATATGAAATGTCAATACAGCATTGACTATTTTTTTCCGCAAGACCCCAGAGAGTTTGTTTTCATTGCCCAACAATGTTGTACACTAAATGTGAAGGAATTGGTTCATTTACTGATTAGCATATGGGAAGGGCAAATTAACGGCAAACCTGGCATTAATTGCAAAAAATTATCCTCGGATTAGTTGATTACGGAAAAATACAGGCAACATGGGCATCTGTCATCAAAACTCATCAGACATGAAAAAAAATAAGGGCGTCAACAAAAAAAAATGTATGTAATAAAAAACCACATATTTCATCAAGTTTCCATGAATTATTTGTTAGCTGGACTCAACATTTCAGACCTGACTTGTATCAAAATGCCACATTTTAATCCCATAATAATCATGGTATCCTGTGCAAAAGCACTGGAACAGCTAAAGAGAAAAACGCTACACGTAACTATTGTACCTATCACTGAAGTTGTTACATTTGAGTCATTAACAGGTAAAATCCCTCCCGAGCACTCTATTCAATTATTATCAGGGCCCCCCAATTTATTAACAGCCCTCGCCATTCTGTAATCATGACACTGACAGAAACCCTGCTTAAATCACATAAAAACTTCCCGTACTCTAATACACAACACTAATGCCAGAAATATCACAAACTCCGAAACCCCGAAATACACCTGAACTGATTAGTCCTCTTTTTAAAATTAGGTCATGTTTGACTAGATGGCTAGGTTTGAAATTTTTTTGTACGAGGAATATCCGTATGTACAGAAAGTTTACAGTGAGATGATAAAAAGGTATCAATTTGTGCTTTATGACTTTTTGTACCCATGCAGGGATGTTAAAATGTCATACAATACATATGGGATGTGAAAACTTATTGCATCTATTGCTAAGTTACAACCATAAAAATGAATTTAATCCTCTACATTATGCACACAGAATGTATAAGTTTACCATCTCGAAGCAGTTTGTATTGACAGATGGTGCTATTCAAATGTTTCATTTACTTATCTTTTGTTTCCCCTGTGTATCGGAATAAATGATTCATTGATCTCAAAGAGTGTATCAGTATAAATGATCCATTGATCTAAAAGAATAATTTTCTTGTCAAAGAGGGGGGAATAGTCAATTATCTATGATGGGGACATTAAAGGCTTTATATATATTGTATGTACAACAATTAAAAGAATTGATTTTGTATAATGCTTGTATAAATAATATACCAGTACACATCACAGGGACCCTGTCATATATCCAATGATCCCTTGTAATGTGGGGTTTTATAATGGAGGAACTTCCAAGACGTTTCTGCCAGACTCAGTCCCTCTAGGGAGTTGCCCCAGAATTTTCTACACACACACCAGTCAGCACAGCTCTATTTTCATTGTTTAATCAATCATCACCAAAATTAATTACCCCTCCCCTAATTCCCTGCATGTTACAGCATGGCTGATCCCATAATTTTCTCTAACCCAGTCCACATGCATTATGATAAATTCAATCTGGGAGGGAGAATTCATGATTTTATGTTTTAAAAATTAACTTTGTATCCAGTAATAAAGATGAATTTTGACCGTCTTCAAAGGACTTGGGAGGAAGGTAGGGGATATTGTCACAAATTAACAGATTACTACCTCCTTCAGACCAAGAATTAAATTTACCATTCTGTCCCTAAACTGGGAGATTTCTTGAATATTGGCATAACAAAGACAAAATTTATCTGTAGCCTTAATATTGACAATAATCACATTGAAGAATAAACCCCGAGAATTTAAAAGAAAATATCTCCTAGAGGAAAGGTAAAGTATGTCACTCAGTAGCCATACCAAGATTTTAAGAGCTTACTTATTAAATCGGACTTCTTGAACTAAATACCAGGAACCACAAAGAGTTAAGATTAAAATTTATCAGCTTTTAAACTTCAACAATACTCTTCTTCCACAATTAAATTCCCGGAGAAAGCCTCGAAGACACTGACTTTTCAATACATAAGGGTATATACCACTCACTGGGTAGAAATACTTCAAATTTTCTATGGTTTTGTGGTTTTAATTTAAATTGTTTTGTGGAAATTGGAGATAAGAGAGTTTCTATACAAGTGCTAGTCATCTCCCTGATTCAAACCACGTATTAACCATTTGTGTTTTACTCCTGATTCTTATCAGTATGGGGTTGACCATGTAATTAAATTATCTGACCTATAGATCTAATGTTGTCATTGACAGATGATCGAGATAAGTGTGTTCAGCAATGGGACATATATCTGTGTTAATTAAGGTCACTACAAGCACCTGTCATAATATGACCTCTGGTCCTGCAAGTTTTGCTGACCATAAACAAACAACACACTTGTTTGACAACTCAATTGTTATTTTCCAGTTTCAAATAAAATCAAGTTTTCAAAAATTTTTGCCACGACAATTAAAGAAGAGACAAACGCTATAAAAATCTCTCCTCATCAATAAAATATTGATTTTTTTCTTTCAAATAGTCCTATAAATTACTCGTTCTGGTATCAAAATATCATGAATAGACTGGACATGCAACCATAAAAAAATATTTCTCCTGAATGAGCTGATCTGCACAATATTCTGATCAAATCCTTCTCATTTTTTTTTTCATAATCCTCAAAAAACTCATTTAATCAATACCTATAGCAATTAAAGATACAACTCAACACACACGCCAATGTGCAATTTGAGACGAGTGCCAAACTGTTACACAGACATGTGAGAGAGTCGTACAGTAACCATTTAAAACCAACAATGTTTACCAAATACCCATTTAATATACCTAAGTAAACTTTCAAAATCTACTGGAAGTTATGGTCAGTAAATACTTTTAGCCCATCAAGAACAACTTTTTCTTTATTCTGGCGCCACTAACCATTGAAAATCTCTCCTCATAATTGCGTCTAAGATGATCTAGGAGAACTTGTATTTTTGTTTACCCCCATTCTCTTTGTAAGGCCTAATATTTCAATTGTACAAATATGTGCAGCCAGTATGTCTCAAAATGCATTGATTAAACAAAATGAAACAAAAAGGGTTTCTTTTAGTGCATGGGTACAATTAAGAAGTGGCTTGAATCTACCACATTCAGTCTTACGTAAGAATTGTTTTCATAAATAATTCTCTTTTTTTTTTTCTTGAACCCTTCTCTTTATGAAATTTTAATGACTTCATTCCTAAATTAAGAATTTTACTGCTTTATTATCCTGACCTAAAATGTAGATTTGCTCTTTCAACTTTTCCATGCAAAGGTAAGAAGGGCACATCTATCATAATTTTAACAGAGAATAATTCTTTGCCACCAAATAATATCCTGGTATGGAAATTCGATTAATACACATTTATTTTAAGGTCTCAGTATGTTTCATGTAGATTTATATCACAGATGTAATTTGCTTCAACACATTATATCAAAAACGACAGCTTTTAAGTCCTAATAAAAATAATGAGATTCGATAAAGGGGACATCACACAATGCACCAACGATCGCTTTAAACTGCAATTCAATACAACAGTAAACCAACACAACAACTTAAAAGTATTCCCCCAGGTAACAAAGAAAGCTCAAAATTATGAATGGAAATATTTGAGGCAACGGTGATGTATTTTGCCAATTAATCATTGAAGAAATTCTTGTTCCAAATTTCTGTGTCTTGATTAACAGGTAAAGCGTAATACAGTTAGGAATTAAATCATTTCGGAAGAAAATTGATCATTAATAGGTATAAATAACAATACTGTGTCATCCCTACCGATTAGTCATTATATAAACCACGAGTGCATGTATTATCTGTACTGATAAGAAGGACTGGTCAATTTACAGGTAGATTGTAATTTGACATATCAGCAAGATTCCCGGGGGATTATGGGAGGGCAAAACACAAAGTGTGAAATGAAAACACAGTGTTATTCAGCTGTCAACAGGTTTGGGTAACAAATAGTTGTAAAACAGATAATAAATGATTTGTGTCAAACATAATAAAGTTATTAACACCTTGTCTCAAGACACTGTTAGAAATATATGTACACATTAGGAGTGCCTATGTTAACTAAACAAGGACAGCCGTTACAGATTTTTTAAGAAGACATTAAAACTTTGATAAATGAAAATATTTTTTAAAATTTAGTTGTACACTCTTTTCTTTATAAATACTTACTCTGCGAGTATATGGTGGACTCAATAAGTCTATATTATCCTGTACTAATTTATCCCTAACAATCATTCTCAACTGTGCCCGGGGGTATATTGTCACCATCTCCTCCTGTCCGACCCCTCCCCCCACACAAGACATCCGGGAGGGGGTCCTCTGAGTCTCAACATTGGTTGAGTTACGGCGGCTTGGGGGCCCCTGCTTCTCAGAAAGATTTGGTTCGATGACAGCTACATCCGAAGTCTCTAGGGTAAAATACACAGACGTCGCCCCCTCCTCTTTGATTTTTGTCACTGCCTGAAGAATTATTTGTCGGTGGATATCATTTGTTACCCCTATAGCATCCAAATCAGGCCTTCCGATTTGTTTGCACACTTCCAGCTCATCATAACCATTGTCAATGAATGCCTCTGTGTATATTTCCAAGCTAATGGACTTCAACCAGTCTCCAATAATGTTGTCAGTCATTTTTAATCACATTGAATTAATTCCTCAGAAAAGATACACAGCACATGTCCCCTACACCGACGTCACATCGACTGAAATTTCTCCCGTCACATTGCGCTCTCTGAAATACAATAATTTGCGCGCGCACCTCACTGACGATTACTCGATGCATTGGGCCAATGGCAAACGATATAGATGTAAACAAAAGCACATGTAGTACTTTCACTTTATTTTGCAACCAGTGTGTAAGCTAAAGGTTAACTTAAAGCAATATGAGCTGCAACTTTGATGTCGGAATTTTTTGTTGCAAAATTGTAAATAACTATTTCATTGACAGAAAAAAAATAACGTTGATAAACTTTTGTTGTTCACATTTGCAATGAAAGAACTATTTTTAAGCTTCGATTGAATCAAAATTACATTATTGTCGTCCTGTACAATAATGATTTCTTATACAAAACTGTACATTAGACTGTATTTAGAAGTCTTTTTCTGCTTTAAATAATTCTAATTGGTCATAAAGGTTTAAGGTAAAAATACAAATTTATCATAATAACACAATTTTACAGCAAAATAAAATTTTCAAAAATGCAGCTCATATTGCTTTAAGTTACATCATTCTTTTTTATACAAAGTTTCCGACTTTTTTTCATGCCAAAATGATACACATTTACGAAGTACTTTTTAAAAATCTTTTAGGTTTTGTGACTTTTATCCTTCCAGTCTGATAGTGAAGGTTTGATTTTAATCAGACTGTTGTCCTTCAGAAGTTATTTTCATCAGTAACGATTAGGAAGTATTCGAATCGACTTTTGATCCCCCCCCCCCAAACAACCCCCCTCCCCCCAAAAAATACCAATACAAATCTTTTCGGTTATATTTTTCTTAAATTATTTTTCCATATAATAACTAATTATTTCGATAAGAAAAAAAGTCAAATAAGTCGAACAGCTCTTGTGACAAGATATTCCATAGAAGGATCCGCCTCTAAATACTATGGCCACAAAGTTCGTTCATTGCATGAATGAAAGCATTCTCTGTGTACGAAGCAAAATGATTTCATTGACCAATTGGAACCATTACGTTTCGAACAAAGTAGCCGAAAGGTAAAGTACCCTAGTTACTATAGAAATAAATCCCTTAATGCACAATTTTAGCAATGCAAAATTTAAAAGATTATGACTAAGCTATACAAAAATTTCCAATGCATGCATATTTTCGAAAATTAAGTTGCTGTTATTGACTCTCTATTTGAATGATTTATAAACCTCTTCTTATTTACTATCTTTGTCTACAGATAGGGAGGCATCGTTGAAAACCAACAAATACATGTAGTTTGAGAAATACAACATAATAAATGAAATGGATAAAGGGGGGGGGTTGTGTGTTCATTTGTAACAATTAGTTGAAGCTTAATTAGTTGAACAAAATACTGGTCTGAAGAATAGCTGTTGCCCAGAAATACCAAAAAGACGAACAACCGTTAAGCACGAGTCGTACTAAAGATTGAGTAGCGGTGACAGAAGTCAATGAATTCTTTAACTTATATATCATTCCTAAAATTAAAGACAAATACATCTGAAAAAAAAAAATCATTTCAACTCTATAGTATTTTTCATAATAAAAAAAAAAACATGTGAATCAGTGTAAAAAATATATTCTTTAGGAGGCCCATAGCAACAACTTCAAAAAATGGGAAACCTTCCAAAAAATGGAAGTCCGATGCGCAAAAACATAAACAGAACAAATATTTTGATCAGTCTATGGGTCTGCATTGTGAAAGAAATATACATTATTTTTGCTGCTTAGTTGGAACTAAAAATTAAGTACAGAAGAGTTTATTCCCCTTGGCTAAAAGTCAATGGTATTAATGGGCATGTTGAACAACTTTCATCCACATGTAGGCCACAGTCACCTGACGTTACTTATTTTTCTTTTAATAAAAAAATATACCCATACCTAATAATAAACTTTATTAGGTATGGGTATATTTTTTTTATAAAAAGAAAAATAAGTAACGTCAGGTGCCTGTGATGTAGGCATATGTACAGTGTCTTTCTATAAATTTCATTTCTATTGAGGTTATTTCATCTTCGAGGTAAAACTTTGAGCGCTTGATGAATGGATTTGACAGGATAGAAGATAGAATTGATCTTAAATATTATAGTCTACTTTTTCGAAATTAGCAGAAATTTGAAGACAAAGAAGTCCAAACCCAATTCTCAAGAAATGGTCAATTTACGGTGCGAAATTCTTTACATGCGGATCCAGAATTTTTTAAGGGGGGGTCGTCCACCAGAAATGTCTAGACAAGAAAAAAAAAGGGACACTCATTTTCCAAACATGAGAAACCTATTTCGTGTCGTTGACTTTTAAAGTTTCACACCAGCATTTTTATACCAATATCACATAGATCTGTGTTTTCGAGGAGGGTTCCGCGTTTTCTAAGGGGGTGTCACTTTTACTTGGTTTAATATATACATTTAATAACGCAGCAAAGTCCAGTTCCGGACCTCAACCCCCCCCCCCCCCGGGCCCCCCCACCCTCACCCCCTTGATCCGCGCATGATATGTTCGCTTAATTATAGATATAATTTTTATTTTGTTTCATGGTTTTGTTCCAAATCATCATATGAATGACCGTTCCGTAGAACGCAAAAAAAATATATATAAAGGGGATGCTTTAATTTCTGAAGATAACTTATTTTGCTACATAATAAATTTTCTTTTATATTCAGGTTGACCCCCCCCCCCCTCCCCCACTCTGTATTGATGCAAGGTCGAGCACTGGCAAATTCTATGCAGGATGACATGTCAGATTACTTTTAAAAGTTTTTATTTATTTATTTATTTATTTTTTAAAGATTATTTTGAAGTTGCCTCCCCCTTTTGACTGCCACGATTGCCTTAATGTTTTAAGCCCCACTGAACTGATGATTCTACACAAGAAAATGTTTGTTTGTTTGTTGTTTTTTTTTTTTTGTTTGTTTGTTATTTATTTACAACCAGTATTTATTTTCTCCTGTCTATCTTTTTTTTTTTTTATTTTGTTGTATTGGGGATGAGGTGGGGTGCAGGGACATTTTTTCCTCAATGCTTTGGCCTCCTCGATGTCCAGCCAACTCCCTTAATGTACCCCAACTTCTTTAAAGTCTCGCAGTAAATATAGATATTGAATCATCTGAAAATCTCTCTTCATTTCATTGAAAAAGATTTAAAATGCTATGAAGGACATGAAAAAGGCAAGCATTATTTATTTTGCAGGGAAATAAATATATCAGCATGTCAGCGTTGTTTTGTTTTAAACCAATCAAATCACAAATCTGCATTTGTCTCATGTAATGGCGGCATCCTTGTTTATGCGGTGAGATACGTATTGTAAGTGATATTTCTGAATTTTATCATATATAAGAGCATGGTTTGTCTTTACTATGTTGTATTCAACTAAAGAAAACACAGTTCTTGTTTTATGGTGATTTCTATCTCAAATAGCATTTCTCTTGTTTGCAAATAATCGCAAAATGAAACGGAACATATATTTCTTTCTGTAGGATACTATCGTAAATTTAAACATCTTCAGTACTTAACATCAGCAAACAATGACCAACGTTATACAACCTACAAGTAGTACTTCTTATTGATGACTAAGTTCCGTAGTTGTTGAAACAATGTTAATGTGGTACATGCATAATCTGTTGGGTATCATTTTCCAAGGATTTTTCCCACATTTTTTGTTGAGTCTATACAGTTGAAATAATAAATTGTCTTTTATGAGCATGCTTTTTAATATATTCGATCAATGCATACTATCTCTGCAAGATATATTATTGTTTTCAGCGGCAGCTCACACAAATTGGTCCGACCAAAATAGTTCCATCATGATTAAGTAGATACAACATTATTGTTCATGATAAGAGTGAAGTTGTGTATTTCATACGTTAAAGAAATCAAAAATAACGTCAAAATATTATTAGAAAATCACTTTCCCCCCGAAATGCAAATAAAAAATATCAATATTCCTACGCTCGCTCCCTCCTCAGCCTTTTTTTTTTTTTTACATGTTTGATAATAGAGAATATTTAGGTCATTCTTCGATTCATATTTTTTCACCGATGAATTGATAATACTATATCAACAATTGTATTAAGTACATGTTTATAGTCTGTTAATTATCATACAATTTCCTTTTAAGAAAAAATAAATCATTCTGTGTGTGTATATTATTAAATGACGGAATTTTCAATCCCTGGCTGGATTCTGCTCACGTGTGTACACTTTGTAAACTGTAGGGGATAAAATGTGTGGCAAAACGAGAACTTCGGACATTCGGGTTCGTGTTGGAGTTCAGCATAGGCTTACCATTTTATATAGAACTTGAATAATGTAAGTAATATCTGCGACGAATACATTAGCATATTTCAGTAATTTTCAAAACAAAAAAGGTTTTCAGTTTAGAATTTTTCCCATCCGGTTTTTTTTCCTAACACGTTTTAAACACAAGTTGTTGCAAAACAAACTATATATAGTTCAACAGGGATTGTATAATTTTTATTAATCAGAATTCGTTTTCATTTCTAATTAAGAAAAGAAAAGTTTTGTCTGCCATCGTAACTTCTCGGCAAAACAAAACGTGTTCCTCCGAGCTCGCTGGATGCGTTTAACAGCTCCATCGCACGTGTGTTTAATGTTGGTCTTGCGGACACAGGTTCATGTAGGCCTATGTGTACCGTTTGTTAGGAGACTGGGTGACCTCACCATGCTCAAAATTTACACCAGTTCCATAACTAGGCCCTAGACATTGCAGTTTTTTTATTAACGTCATTATAAACACTGATAAGCATATTAAATCTAAAAGTCGAATATCTTTGGATATGGGGTAACCCATATCTATTCTTGTTATAATGGCAACAAAAATTTAGGAGTATTTTATTTAAGGTCATGAAACCTGTGCATTAATAATCCTTATTATCAATATGCATTTATCTTCAGAATCTGCTTCAGAGTAATTCACTTTCGGTTCATAATTTAAAGAAAAAGAATTAGTGTAAACAGATTATCAATGCAAAGAACTGATATGATTCAATGATTTTAAAGATAAAATATTTAATTTATATATTTCTGGACAAACAAGTTATGTAAACACTAAATAAAGAATTATCTTTAAAAGTGGTCCAACAGTGCCTGAGGTTGAAATAATGTATAGATCTGAGATTATTTTTACACCAGAAGGCACAATAAATTTCCTGTCTAATTGTTTACAAAATTGATATAGTATTTTAGTGAAGAAAAAGTCACTTATTGAATGTTAGAATGGAATTACAGTTGAAACTTGTTTACAACTGTACATTTGAAAACAGCATTTGACTGATTGATTGAATAAGCTGTCAGTATATATACTTTCAGACACTGAACCTAATCTAAGCATGCCCAGGAGTAAGAAGCGTGGAGCTGCGGCTGCCAAGGAGAAGGCAGTGGCCGCAGAAGATGCTCCTGTCAAAGAATCGCCGGCCGGGAGAAGAAAAAGAGGAACAGCCTCCCAGAGCCCCGCCCCCCAAAAACCAGCCCCAAAAGCCTCGCCCAGTCCAGCTCCCAGATCAAGGTATATTTAATATATACAGTCCATGAAAAAGGCTTAAAAGCAGATTTCTTTTACGTTCCTATGGCCATGTAATATGAGAATGCCTAAGAAGTATAGTCTCACTAGATACTCACAAATATTAATGTAAATTAATTTCATATTTACTGAAGCCTTTCTGTAAAGTTTTTGATGTTACACTAGCCATTTTTATTGAGTGTTTATATAATTACTAAATGAACTTTAAGAAGCCAGTGTATATTGTAAATGATATCTTTAAAAACTTGTGTTAAAAATCAAATGAAGACAACATATTTTGTTACAGGAGCAGAGGTACAGCAAGAGGGAAATCGCAAGGAAAAGGTAAAACTTTTAATGCTGCTAGTTTTCTAAAACAGTATCATTTATGTCTCTTTCCTTTTTTTCTCTCTTACTAGGGGGTTCAGGTAACGCGACTTAGTTATGTAATCGTTGTCATCTACACATAATTCATTGGTGTTTATAAACTTAAATTTTGCATTATTATTCATAGTTATCTAGAAATTAAAAAGAATGAACTTCTCTACCTTATTTAAACTTTGGAATGATGAGTGTGTTATTCTGCAAAGTATGTATTAAAAATTAACCGGATTGACTCGAGCTTGTGCTAAAAATGGATGCGGGGTTTCCCTTTTCATGCATGGCGCTGTAATTTTGTCTACGCAACATTGATAGCGTCATTTTGATTGGCTGTACAAAAGGTGATTTTTAAGGAATGAACGACATTGACTTATCACAGGTAAGCTTGCATTTTGAAGATGAACATGGTTATTGTTTCATCTTAATGCAATGTGCAGAAGTTTGTGTATTTTCGTTTCAAAGGAAAGAGATCAATTTTACTATGGTAAGTAATCGGAATACATGTATTTTTATGCAACATACACTATTGGAAGTCGGACAGTATTTTTTATCTGGATATTGTTATTCTGTAATCATTTCGAAAAATAATAAGCTGGATTCATTTCCTAAAATCATCATTGCTTTTTGAACATGGAAATTAAACAATATTAAACTTGTCGGAAGAACTTGGATTAACTCCAAAGGCATTTATGCATAAAATTATCACTTGAGCTAATTGATTGATCATCATCATAAAACTAAAAAAAAAAAAAAAGCAAAGAAACAGTAATTTCATATATTTACATTTTTACCTGATACTTAATTCAATTAAAAAAAATTCAATAGTAAGAAATCTCAGCATCCCCACCAAATGTTTTACTTAGCAACATGCAGCAAAAAAGCATGCAGTTCTGTCATGTGCTGACTTCTGAGCAAATTGATTTATGGGGTTTTAAGGCAAATTATGTTATTTGTAGTTTAACTCAGAAAAAGACATTGGAAATGGAATATGATAAAATATCTGTATTTAAATATCTCTTCGAAAATTTATACCTGAACCCCCTACTCTTACTCCTGCAATTAGTTCACATAAAAGTTTAAGACTGGTTTCATCAAGCAACTCTTTTCAATTGTTTATTTTGGTGAAATGTTTCATACCAATGTTGCTGTAAAGAGTTGATGGATTTCTTTTTCATTGTTTGTCTTTCAGTAGCTTTTATTTGATACCCACTTGTAGGTGATAGTGCAGAAGATACTGGAAGAGTAACCAGAGCGGTGGTACAGGAAGCAGAAGATTCTCCCAAACGAGGCCGTTCCACTTCCAGGCGGGGGAAACCAGCCAGTGAACCTGCACCACAACCAGTTACT